GCTAACTTCCCAACGTCTGGGTTAAATGATGCCTCTAAAGACTTCTCTGTCTCCTCTAAGCAGGGTTAAGCCACTGACTCCCACAGCATTGGTGTTACTGCTGTAAACCATATTTTCTTTGCCTGAGAATATGGTTTACTGTGTTGTGCCTTTCTCATCCACTAAACTGTATGCTCTTTACAGAAGGGACCATGCCTTCACATCTTCTTTATTTCTATGTTTCCCACCAAGCACAGTGCCTCATCCCTAGAAATAATTCAAGACAAGCATTAACTGAAGTAACTCAACCAAACTAAACTATTAACAGTTATAAGATGCTTTCTTAACCATGTTCATATACACATTTAGTATAGGTCACTAACTACAGCAGATGAAAAAGCACTCCCAAAGAGACCCACTGGGAGCTTCCTGGCCTTCCATCTGGTTCAGCCAGCACTGAATACTAACTACCCTCTGGAATAAGACCACACTCCTTCACATTTCCTCCTCTAGAACTCTTTCCTACTTCATACACAAACACTGCCATGAGAAGATCACGGCTCAACTGTATTAATGAATTAAATTAGGTATTCATTACCAGAGTGTAAGTTCCTTAGGTCAGAATTCAGGCCCTCCAGATTCTGGTCCAGATTGCCTCTAACAGTTTTACTTTGCTCCTTTAACAGTTAGCCACCAGTTCCCAAACATCCCGTCCTTTGTTGCTTATATATTTTTGCTCATCTCTTATATCTGAAAACCCTCTTCTCTCCCTTTATGAGCACCCTAATATTCTTTCAAAGTCTTATTCAAATATCACATCATCCATGATTCCCATAGATAGAAGAGACAATGGATGGAGTCTATTTAGATTTACAATAGAAAACTATGAGTTTCAAAATGACAGATTGTTTAAAAAGATCAAACCATTGCTATTTCTATAGGTAGGGATAAGACCAAATTTAAGAAAACATATAAAAGTAAATGATTGTTTGATCTCATTTTCTTGGTAAAAATAGGAAGCAAGGTCATCATGCAAAACCAATGGGGAATGAGGTTTTAGAGTTTTGTCTAGGAGAAAGGGAAAAGAATGGATTAAGCAGATGTTATCAGGCAGTACTTAAGAAGTCATGAATTTAAAATGAAACCAGTTGGCATGGTCCTGGGTTTCTTTTGTCATATTCAGGTGCCTGAGTCAGTCCAAGAGTAGGTGGAGAACTGAACCAGAGCTGGAGTTTACCAGAAGAGTATGAGAGTATAAGGGGCCAGAAAGCTTTTAGGGCATGTGCAAAGGAGTGACAACAGTGATACACAATGGGATCTAGGTTGGTAAGAAAGAACTGAGTGTACTGGGAAGTATAGATAAAAGGCACTAAAAAAATAGTAAGATCAATATATTTTAGGTACCAATAAATTGAAGAATTTTTGCAGTTAAGAGTTTCTATATGGAGCAAATTATGAAGAAAGATGATACTGGTCAGAGTGTGAAAGGGTTGCAGCACCAGTAATGATGATAAGGCCCACGGTGTGGGTGCAGGAATGGTGAGGAAGACTGGAGGAAATATAACTGAAGGAAAAAGATCAAGGGCCTCTGACTCTACTTAAATAACTACTTAAAAGCCCAAATATACACAGTATTTACATTCTACCAAGTTCTAGTGTCTGACGAGGAAGAAGAAACTGAGACGTTTGAGTCTACAGCAGCCTTTCTAAAATGAAGTTCTATCAGAGAAAATGATGTAAGTAACTATTTTCTCAATTATCTCAATGATGAAAAGTACCTAGTACCATTCTAGATAAATAGGAGATAAATCATTTCATTATATACAATGATGTGTTAGAACACTAATTTTCTCATGAAACCCTGGATGAGAAGGACAGAGAAAAATGAACTCAGAATAAAAGCAGTATGTCGCTGCTTCTTTTTTAACCATTTCCTAAATAACATACTTACTCCATCTGGTTCACTTTCCAATTTGCAAAGCACATTCACATGCACATCTCATATGACCCTAACAACTACCAGGTGGGATAAGCAGGCAAGCAATTATAAATCTCAATTTATTGATGAGGCAAGAGGCAGATATGGTAAGTGACTTGACCATCATAAGTGACAGGATGAAATGAAGGTTTTCGGGCTCTTCATTTACGCAATCCACCATTCACTACAACTTCAAGTTTCAGCAAAAGTGTTAATTGTCTGTCTTTCTCAAGTTGAGCACTCACTCCTTTACAGTCCTACTTCTCACACACTCCCGTCCACTGCATTATACATTTCTCTGATTTTCCACTAGACTTAAACTCCTGGGAGACAGAACAGAGTGTTTTTAATATCCATATATGTAGAATTTAACTCAAAAATGTTAGTAGAAAGAAGGAAGCTAGGAAGGTAATAAAAAATTCAAAGAATAACCTATTAGAAACTAAAACTTGGTAGAATGTAAATATCATATTTTCGGATTTTAAGTCATTCATGTAGACTCAGAGATAAAATAATTGGATTTTGGAAACTGTTTCATAGGGAAAAACTGAAGTCATGGTTAGGCTTGGACAGAAAACACAAGGAGGAAACATGATAGCTATTTTTAATATCTCAAGCTCTCACATAAAAGGAAATGTTTCATGTTTTCCAAAGGGCAAAAAAGAGCATCAGCAAACAGAAGTTGCAGTGGAAAATTTTTGGTTAATATTAAGAAAGAATCTCCTAGATAAATGATCTCTAACTAAAACAAAGGGTCTCTCCTCTCATCGGTAGTGGCCATCACTGAGGGAGCAAGCAGTCCGTGAGAACACTCAGCATTTAGAGTGGAGGAAACACCAGCTTTGGAGTTGAGATCATACTATCATTGCAAATCTACAGTAAGCAAGACAAACTGAGATTCTCCTACAAGATGGTTATTTGTTTGATTCAATGCAATATGTGACTTTAAAAAGAAAAAACTTCCTTACTGGTACTTAAACATTAATTTTGGCTTAAGCATTGCCCATTCATTCTGGACATTCTTTCATATATTTCAATACCGATATAGATGTGTTTTATATAATTGGCAGTTTATACAAGAATTATTCTAAGCTTCATTCACTTTTATATTTCCTTTTTCCTTGCACTAGGACAAAAGAAAATATGGGTTTTTTAAGTACAGTATGTGTCTTTTTCTTCTTTCTTGGAGTCAAAGTATATTGCCAATATGAAAATTATCAATGGGATGAAGATTATGATGAAGAGCCAGATGATGTCTACCAACCAGAATTTCAATTGCGTCAAAATGTAGACTATGGAGTACCTTTTTATCAGCATCCTTTAGGCTGTGCCAGTGAATGCTTCTGTCCACCTAACTTTCCATCATCAATGTACTGTGATAATCGCAAACTCCAGACTATCCCAAATATTCCAGCACACATTCAGCAAGTCTATCTCCAGTTCAATGAAATTGAGGCTGTGAATACAGATTCATTCATCAATGCAACTCATCTTAAAGAAATCAATCTCAGCCACAACAAAATTAAATCCCAAAAAATTGAGCATGGTGTGTTTGCTAAGTTGTCAAATCTAGTACAACTTCACCTACAGCATAACAATTTAGAAGAATTTCCTTTTCCTCTTCCTAAGTCTTTGGAAAGACTTCTTCTTGGTTACAATGAGATCTCCAGACTGCAGACAAATGCCATGGATGGGCTAATAAATTTGACCATGCTCGACCTCTGTTATAATCATCTTGATGATCCCATGTTACAAGAAAAACATCTTGCTAAAATGGAAAAATTAATGCAGCTCAATTTATGTAATAACAGATTAGAATCAATGCCTCCTGGCTTGCCTTCTTCACTTATGTATCTGTCTTTAGAAAATAATTCGATTTCTTCTATACCAGAAAATTACTTTAATGAACTTCCAAAACTTCATGCTCTAAGAATGTCACACAACCAACTACAAGACATTCCGTATAATATTTTTAATCTTTCCAACCTTATAGAGCTCAATGTTGGACACAACAAACTGAAGCAAGCATTCTATATCCCGAGAAATTTAGAACACCTCTACCTAGAAAATAATGAAATTGAAAGTACGTAAAATTTCATTATATTTTAAAGACAAAGAATAGTATTTTCATCTTTTAAATAATGAATTCTTACAAATCTATGCTTTACACATTCCTGATAATGGTTGCTTTAAAGCTGGCTAGGAAAATGGCAGAAATTGGCCCCAGAGAAAGCTATTCTATAAAGTTTATAGACTTTTCTATTAAATTTTATCACCTTGAACATTGAGAAATTGTACTGTAGAATATATAAAGAAATATGAGTACTTTGAATAGTGGGACTATAAGTGATTTTTCATTTTTTATACTTGAGATTGTATCTACTAAGAATTTTTCACTTTATTACTTAAACAATTACTAAATGCCAATGAAGACATCATTTATTTTGACACTATAAAATTCACTTAGTTTCATTTCCCTCGTTTTATTATTTAATTATTATAAACATAATTAAACCTAATTCTACTTTTAAGTATTCTAATTAACAAAACTATATCTATATAAGATTTTAATAAAATTCAATATAGGATTATGAATGTAATATAGCAGGATTAATTTTTAATTTGTATTTTTCAGATATCAATATTACAGCGATGTGTCCATCTGTTGACCCATTATATTACCATCATTTAACATACATTCGTGTGGACCAAAATAAGCTAAAAGAGCCTATAAGCTCATACATTTTCCTCTGCTTCCCCCACATACATAGTATTTATTATGGTGAACAAAGAAGCACTAATGGTCAAACAATACAACTGAAGACCCAAGTTTTAGGGAGACTTCAAGATGATGCTGATAGTGAAGAACATGATGATCGTCGTGAAAGCCCAGAACAAGAAGGAACAGAAGAAAATGTTGACCCTCACTATTATGGAAGTCGAGAATGGCAAGAAACTATATAGGTATACATTTATGACTCCACAAAATCTTACAGCTCATAGTAATACATCTAGAATTGTCTTAGTATAAGATAAAGTACTTGAATGTAAATTGTTGATAACATCTCCATCATTACATAGGATTAGAACTTAAGTCTTTAGAAATATAAATTAGAATGACAAGTGGGAATCAAAAACTACACTTTAACAAAAAATTTATCATGTTGAGAAAATGTCAATAGGCTACTTCTATTAACAGTAATTTTTCTAAGAACGATGAAATAAATAGCCTTGGGAGCTGAGAACTGTAAGCTATTTGCTTTTAATTACTATGAGGATAGAGTTTAAATGCTAGGAGGTCACATTAATGTAATGGCAGCATTTGTTTAAGGAATAGATTATTTTCTTTAATCTGATCTCCAGAAAAGCTTTCATACTGGTATCTGCGATCTCATCACCATGACATACATCCCCCAGGCCCTACTAGAGCCAGAATATATTTGATTTTAGAGCATAGAATATTTTTGATTTTCAAAAGAGGCCATCCTACTAAGGATCTAAGGCATGGAGATTCACGAAATCAAAGAGTCTTGTTTTTCTCTCAGAGCGCCAAAGCAACAAAATTTTAAACTCTGTGTTTGGATAACTAAAAAATACCAAATTATTTCATCTTAATCTATATTTAGCAAATTTCAGAAACTGTCCAAAATAATCTTTACTGTGTTCCATTTTAACTGGGATAAATATTTTTTTTATTGTAAATTCACTAGAGAAAGTTTTCCTTGTTTTAGTTACATAAAGATTTCCTAATAAATAACTGCTTTGTTCATAAGGTTAAGTTAATGTTAGCTCAAGAAAGTTTATCAACATTTTTAAACACTTCTATTATTCCAGCACAATTAGTTAGAAACATATGTGTAACAGCCAATGTTTATTTACATATTATTAAAGTTGAATAGAGTTTCTTTAAAACTTGGACAGGATTTAAAATTTTGTTTAAAACCTTAAAAATCATATTATTTAATCTATTATTTTGAAGTATTTTAAGTATGCCTTATAAATGAAGATAATCTAACTGCTGTGATAAACTTCCTTGATTTACCAAGCTAACATTTTATAGAATTCCTCAATACAAAATAAGCACAAATCTGGGGCTGCCTATATGGGGAACTCAAAGAACAAACAATAACAATTTGGACAATATGCAAAGACCAGACAAGTAAAATTATATTTTAGAAGCAGTTTTCAAGTGGTGAGTCTTTATTTTTCTGGAGATGACAGTTGAAAATGAAGCTTCGAATGCACTTTATAACTTTGAGGAGGTTATTAGCAAAAAAAGGACACCCACCTGTCCCCAGGGACAAGCGCAACAATCCAGAATGAACACAGACAACACTTGATTTATTCATTTAATTAACGTTCGTCAAGTCACTTGGTGTGTAGGACTTAGCAATGAGAAGTCAAGAAATAGAGTTCCTATGTGCACCTATGATACCATAAGATACAGCTGTGAGGGTAAAGTCCAAGCAAAATGCTAGTGATGTGGGTAAAGCTCACTTTCAACAGAGATTAAAAAAAAATTTAAGGACCACCTAACCCTTTATTGATTTTTAAAACTAGGGTTATAAATTTATACATCTATTATGAGTTAATATGTACAAAATACTATGGGTGTTTTAGGAGATAATACTATTTCGTACCCAGAATAATTTAAGTGAATGAGGAGCCATTACAGAAAGTAAATCAAAGCCACAATGGGATACTCCTTCACATTCACAGGCTGTCTATAATCAAAAAGACAGATAACAAGTATTAGCAAGGAGATGGAAAAAGTGGAACCCTCATGTAACACTGGTAGGGATATCAAATGGTGTAGCAGCTTTAGAAAGCAGCCTGGCAGTTCTTCAGTTACCTTTGATATAGCAACTCCACTGCTAGGTGTATACCCAAGAGAACTGAACACATATGTTCACACAAAAACATGGACACAAATGTTCACAGCAGCATGATCCATTAACAGCCAGAAAGCACCCAAATGTCCATCAGTTGATGGACTTATAAAGAAAATGTGGTATATCCACACAATGGAATATTATTCAGCCAAAAGAAAGAATGAAGTAATAATACATGCTGCAACATGGATGAACCATAAAATATTATGCTAGTGAAAAGTTAGTCATAGACCACATATTATATGAACCCTTTTATATGAAATGTCCAAAACAGGCAAATCTGTAGAGACAAAGACATTATTGGCTGCCTGGGGCTAGGGGACAGGGAAATAGAGGGAAAGTGGCGAGTGATTGATAATGGGTAGAGGATTTCTTTTTGGGGTGATAAAAGTATTCTATAATTGATTGTGGTGATGGCTGCACAAGTCTGAAAATACCAAAAACTATTGAATTGTACACTTTAAAAAGGATGAATTGTATAAGATGTGAATTATCTCGATAAAGCTGTTATTAAAAAAATTTACAAAGAAAATAAGATCAAACAACTCATTCTAACACAAGGAAGAAAGAAAGAAAATGCTAAAGTGGCACTAGCTATGAAAAGAAATGTAACTTCTGGGTGGAGGTGTGGTGAAGTAGTTGAAGGCTTCAAGGAAGATGTGTGAGTAGGAACTGACTGGCAAGAGTGGAAAAAACACACTCTCAGGGCAAGATTAATATAGAGATGTGGCAATTACTTATTTCATCTCTTGTACAGTAAAAAACAAAAACAAAAAACCTATAGTTTTCAGAAATTGGGGGCTTATTTTTACCTCCTCCTAAACTGATTAAAGAAAATACAATTTAATCCTCAAAGAACATATAAAGCAAAAAAAATAAAATTGCACAATTTAACAATTCAAAACAAGGAATTTGAAATCAGATGTGCCTGGGTCAAAGCCTGACTTCATATGTCTAACTAAGCTAGATGACTTTAAGTTGTTTAACTCCTGGGACCCTCCCTTTCCATATTTCTACAAGGAAGGTGGTTCTCATAGGAAATGCTATGAGGATAAAGAGAATTAGTGTGCATAACAAAGATAAATGCTTTAACAAAGTCCATGACAGTCACAGGTATCCAACAAGCAGGAATCATTATTTCAGCATGTCTAGCCCAGCAACCTGCTACATCTATTTTCTTCTCCAGATGTCAGCTGTGTTTCATACATCTCTCTCAGAGGCCCCAGGACAGAGTCAGTACTTTTCAGGTTCTTGCCAAGATTCTTTTCAGATTCCTTCCAAGATTCTACTCATATAAAAGACAGTGAACGAGAGACTTTACTAAAGATTTCATTAGGGAGAGGGGGAAGGGTGCTTAAATCATATATGCACAACAAACATATTCCAAGTCACTATCTCATAGCTCAGCTTTCCAAAGCACCTCTGGACGGCCTGCCAGGGAGAAGAGCAGGGTTTCCTCCAGCCCCTCACAAGGCACTCTGGTCAGAGTGAGGTCAAACTCCTGTATATCAGGAAGAAGAGATAAACTCTGCCCTAGCTCCTCCCTCCAAAGGCATGTATATGCAAACACAATGCAAATGAACTCCAGCTGCAGGGCCCAATGAGAAGGCAGATTAACAACCATATTTTGTTACTTGAAAACGCCCTAAGGAACTCATACCCATCCCCATGTTTTTCTCATTAAAAATAAAACAAAACAAATAATCTCCAATGCTTTCCCTAGGAAAAAGTGAAGAATAAAGTACTTCATTAACTAGCACATCAAGATTGCACAGATTAAACCAGATATTTATAACAGGAAAGAAAAAGATAAAAACCCATCTATTTTCTCATTACATTTCAAAGTATTAGCTATATTAGCTGCTAGGCCGAATTCTGTTTGTAACCACTAACAATCCAAATCACATCATGAACCCAAGCTTAATTAACAAACACAAAAGCATAACATGCATTTAGCTTTTAGAAAGAAAATAAAAATAAAGGATATTTCATAAATTTGCTCACAATAATGCTAGTCGAGAATGATTAGCTTGTGTTTAAATATTACTATATATTTTGACTTTATTCCTCAAGCTGGTACCACTAAACTAAAATGCAGATGTATTCATATCATGTAACACACTTAACCAACACCATGGGAAAAAATAGAAGAAATAAACCTTGCCCCTTCTGTATACTGTCACTATTGCAGAGAATTCATATGACCCCAAGGATGCCTAGAACTAAAACTTTGGTTTCCTGATTCAAAAACCATTTTTTTTTTAATCTTGGAAGTAAAATATAACAGCAACTGGAAACAAAATTAAATCATAGCAGCTAAAAATCTGAAGTTTCTAATATGTTCCAATTTCCTACATAAATATAACTAGTCTAGCAAGTAAATATCACAGAATCATGGACATATCTGTTACTATTTTGCATATTTAGGTTGTGAATCTTCTATATGGAGATTTATGTACTACTCAGAAAAACTAAACTCACAAACATAATACATTTTTAACATGAACCCTTCCTTATATTGAGTCATAATTTCCCTCCCTTTAAATTTCACCCTTTAGTCTGAGAAATACTTGGTTCTCATATTAATCTCATTTGACCAAATGACTTCACTTTAGGCATAAGCACAAGATTTAAAATGGAGATTCAAATCATAGACTTTCCAAAAAATCCTAGAATATTGGATTTAAAGGAGTTTATAAATATCTGGCAACTCAGTGATTCTCAATAAGGGCAATTTTGTCCTGTAGGGGACATTTGGCAATGTCTTGAGACAATTTAGGTTGTCAAGGCAGGAGATATTACTGGTGGAGGAGTGTTACTGGCATCTAGTGGGCAGAGGGCAGGGATGCTGCTAAATGTCCTACAATGCACAGGACAGTCCCTAGCAGAAAGAATTACCTGGTCCAATATTTCAGCAGTGCTAAGGTTGATAAACCCTGTAGGAACTAGATTCTAGTCCAACAGATAAAAAAAAATAAACTGTAAAGAAGTTAACTCGACCAAGATCAGGGAAGGTAAATGACAGAACAAAACTAATGCTTAGGTGTTCTGACTCTTAAATTATACTACTTCCTATAAAGAAGGTTGAGGACTCTTCTGGTTGTAGTTTTTTTTTGAAACTCAATCCACTTGGTAGTTATATGTTCTCTATCAGTAAAACTAAGCCTCCTGCAAAAAAATACGCCTCCAAGAAAATCCTTCTTTTCAAAACACGATTCCATTCAATACATTTTTAGTTGTCTACTGCTGAGAAACGAGAGCCCAATGGGACACCTTCAAAGATATAAAACCCTACAAAGACACCAAGGATAATGCGATAGAGTCACCAAAAAGAATTCCATGGAGAAAACTCTCAATTTTGGATAAATGCCCACTCTTGAGCCTGAAACAGCTTTCATCTTTTATTACTGTGCAATGAAAGCTAAACAGCTTTCTACTAGGATACTATATTTCTTTCTGGAATAAAATATAACCTAAATTTCAATCATATTTTATACTGAGAACTGTGTAGTAAAGAATTTAACCCCAAGGTGAGGTCTGGATTTTGGTCTCAGCTTCTAGGAGGTAATCTATATCTTTCTTTAGAGTCAGCACACCAGATTTGAGGGTGGGACTGGTCATACTTGATAGTCTTAAAGTTGGACTGGCCATAACAGAAAAGATCATGTGATTTAGGATGGGGGCATTAAGTTATGCTGTATCAGTCAACCTGGATGCTGAGGTCAATTACATGGACATTCAATCAATCATGCCTAAGTAATAAAGCCCCAATAAAGACTCTGATCAGTGAGACTTGGTAGTGCTTCCCTGGTTGACAATGCGTATTGTCACAAATCAATGCTGAGAACAATGAAACCTTTGCACTTTGGAACCCTCCCAGACTCTGCCCATTGCATTTCTTCTTTTGGCTGATATTTAGGTGTATCCTTCCCCTGTAATAAACAATGGCTATCAGTGTGTTCCATGAGTCTTTCTAAAAAATTATCAAATGTGAGGGTGGTTTTGGGAATCCCCCCAAACTTACAGTGATGTAAGAAGTGAAGATGGTCTTGGGGACCGTGTCCTCAAACTTTAAAGTTTGACTAACTCTGGGCAAAAAGGTGGGTTTATTTTCCAGTGCAATTCTGAATATCTCTAGAATCTTGCCTTGTGTAGTCACTTCCCCTTCAGGATGGGTGTGGCCTCTAACTTGCTTCTAACCAACAAAGTATGGCAAAGGTAATGGCATGTATATGATTATGTGTGCATGACTGCTACAAAGACTATAATGCCCATCTTGCTGGAAGACTATTTCCCTCTCTAGCTGTGAAGAAGCAACCTGCCATGTTAGAAGCTGCCTGATGGAAGAGGGCACATTACAAGGAAATGAGGGTGGCCTCTGACCAACATTCAACAAATAACTGAAGCCCTTAGTCCCACCTTCTGTACAGAGTTGTGGCCAACAAACAAGTGGGCTCACACGTGGATCCTTAACCCTACTCAATTCTTGAAGTGGAGGTGCAGCCCCAGCCAACGCCTTGATTGCAGCTTTCAGGTAAGATCCTGAAACAGAGAATCACGCAAAACCATGCCTGGACTCCTGACCCACAGAAACTGCGAGGTAATAAATATTATTTTAAGCCACTAAAGTTGTAATAAATCACCAATACAATAGACACGTAGTGGTATTCTTCAAAAATACAACATTAGTGGAATACTTCTAAAATGAAAATAGGATCATGTCACTCGCTAATTAAAAAAATCTCTCAGTAGTCTCTCACTGGCTACAGATACTTTAGCAAGATATAAAAGACTCTCCTTAATCTGACTTCTAATCACCTGTCTGATCTCTTAATATGCCCCTCACGTCTTTTCTCCTTCCCTCCAATCTCCAGCCATATACAACTAATATAAATTTTCTCCATGATTTACTATCCCCCACCTATGTGATGGTTTCCTTCCTAGAACATCTCAACCTCTGCCACCACCCTCACACCTTACCCATTTTCTCTACATAAGTCAGCTTGGCGAAGCCTTCGTGGCCTCACCCTCTCCCAAGCTATCATAGAACCCTGCACATTTCTGTGTAGCAGGTCCCATTGTGTATCCTGTGGTTTGTTTGCTGCCTTTCTTGCTGATTTACAGACTAAAAGTTCTTTGAGGGGAGAAATTGAGTTTTGTTTGACTGGACATGTTTTATCTGTAGTTCTGGCAGAGAAGAGGTGCTCAATCAAATTTTACTCGAATGAACGTCAATAAAATTGTATTTACTGGTTACAACTTCTCAAAGAAAGATATAACCCACAATAATTTTTTGTAGTACAAAGTATCAAAATGTGTATACCATTAGTAAAACTACAAATCTGATTCTCTAAATCTGACATTTAATATCTATCCAGTTTACTTGTTCCCATCCTGTTAAACCTGCCACACAATGCAAAAATAAATCAAATAAATAATGCTGTTTCATTACTGGGTATTTTCAAATACTTTAAAAGTTGTATTATATCCTTAAAACCATAAAATTGACAATTTATATCAACCTAAACCAGAAAATATCACAACTAAATCTAAAATAATTCACATTCAAATAAAAACATGGGTATTCAGGTTTTAGTTTATCCAAGCTTTAATTTGAAAGGACCTAAAGCCAATTTTGAATAGAAAAGAGAATAAACTGTATTCTTTCATTTTCTATTTTTTAATATTTATCCACATCCACATTTATTGAATTTTTAGCTTAGAGGAGAAAAAAAAATGTTATCTTGATTGCTAAAAGTACCGAAGAGTGATAAAAATAAAAGAGAATCTTTAAAGATATTCATGTAGTTATCTAAAATACCAGTTAAACTTTAAAAGATTAAATTTAATATTAAATATTCATAGTTTCCTTCATTTAGCAAAGAAATTTTTTATTATCAAACCCCAAAGAATAAATCAAGTTTACTTTTTAAAAGCTGATTCTGACCCTTGAGTTATTTTATATGCAACTAAAATAAAGGAGAGGATACCCTAAATGACTAAACTATAAAATAACTTGTGCTAAAACTAATTTTTACATTTTACATTTCTTGGCTATATACTAACTGTAGTACTAGAACAATATTCTTACTTCTCAAAAATGAAGATAATAGACTGTGCTTTGGTTTGGCGTTTTATTTCATTCAAAAAGCAGATGTTTTATGTCCTGGGAAAGCATTAAAATGAAAAGCATGATTTTATAACTATGTCATCTTCATAAACTAATATTCACAAAAACATTAGTCTTTATTTTACAAGGTACAAATAACACGAACTTAAGTATTTAGTAGAAGCAGACTAAATACAACAGCTACAAATATTTTAAGTACAGTTCTCTACTACAACACACTACATTTCACCCTAGAGAAAGAATGTTGGCAAAGATCTCTACCACATGGAAACTGCTTTTAAAGCCGTTGGGCCCTGAAATTCTATTCAGCAGTTTGAAATCAATCGCAGCTTTCCTCATTCACCCTCCCACTTGGGGCTTATGCACAAGCATGAACATCTATTGAGGAAAACCACAAAAAACTTCAAAATAGCTACAACGGTAGGCTCCTTTTTCACGTATTATTTTAAATATCATTTGTTAAGATGTGACTCATCTAACAGTCTTAATAAATGTAAAAAATCTCTAATTTTTTTAAAGTTTCAACTACCTTGAACAACTATTTTTTAACAAATACTTTAGTATATATCATTGCATAACTTTAATATCCATGCAGGCAAGAACAGGGTCACAAACCACGTTATTCTTAATTTTCATCCACTGATTTTTGACAAACTGGCATCTATAATGCAGTACTAGCAACTCTGAGTGATTCTGTTTGAAGTTACTTTAGAAAAAGTCTAAAATGTACACCACCAGATAAAATTCACTGGTGAGCCTAAATCCTTGCCATTACATTCTTTCAAGTCCTTGATTAGAATTTCTATATTTCTCTACTGTGCAGCAGAATTTTTTCATTTTTCATAGTTTAAATTTAAAAAGCAATGCTATTAACTAAAAACAGAAAGACTTATAATTTAAAAACTAAGAAAATGAAAATTATGGCTTTTCTTATATTTTGTGCCACCTAAAAGTTTTAATGACTACTTTTCATAATGTTAAATTTAACGTTTAAGTTTTAAAACTTCTTGGAACTTGTTTTTGTTCATGCCAATACAAATCAAGAGTTCTAATAAAGTAGCAAAGTTGAAATATGATATTTTAAACTCACATGAAACAGGATCTTGGGTCTTCATTTTAACTATTTACACTACAGGTATTTTAAGAAGATTTTAAGTGCATACAAGTACCTCTGTTCAAGGCACCTAATTATTAAGAAACTGAAATTATCAACATTGCTTGGATTTTTGTTAAAAAAAGAAATAAAACCATTTTCTGAAACTGTTTTTCAGAATATCACTGATACATAAAAACTTTTAGCATCTAATTAAAGATCACTAAGGGTTAAATACTTGTTCCCTGGCCCCTACTGCGTATACCCTGCCAAAAAGTCCTCTAAGCTCTTAAATATTGCTTCGATGGTCTGCGTTTTTATTTCCAGGGGAAAAAAAGAGTATTGTCCCACAGTCAGCAGGCCACTAGCTTAATAACTTCCAGTCACCTGAATTTTTGTTAAAAATGAAGACTCTGCAGTCTACACTTCTCCTGTTACTGTTTGTGCCTCTGATAAAGCCAGCACCACCAACACAGCAGAACTTACGCATCATCTATGATTATGGAACAGATAATTCTGAAGAAACTTTATTTACCCAAGATTATGAGGATAAATACCTGGATGTGAAAAATATTAAGGTACCTTATTTCTACTCTAAATTTAACTTCTAAAATAGTCTAACCCATTTAAATGCATGTTTTTGTTTTTTTCTGAATGTGTCTGATAAGGTAAGGGGACAGAAAAAGCACTTTAAGTGATTCAAGGTCATTATAAATAAGTGTCCCTAAGATTATATTTTTAAAGTATGCATGCCTCCAAAATTAATAAATAGTACCTATGGTAACCAAACACATAAAACTTAAGGAAAACTAAACTGTAAGCTGATCCCTGACCAGTTGAGATTTGTGTTAAGTAGTGTTATACAATGTTCTATATTTTATATTACACTGCCTCAGAAAAGAAGAAATGTGTAATAAGAGAAAAAAGGATGAATTACCAGCTTAAGGTCTATTATTTTAGGAAGAAATGGTTCAAGAAAATAAATAGAAGAGTAGTGGTTATTTTGGTATGTACAGTATTTCACAATAGTTTATACCTGACAACTATACACAGTACCAAAAAATAAAAAAACTACTTAATATGGGGCTTTCTTTTTTAATTAGTTTCAATAATTTAGACTCTCTGTCAATTTATACCAAGTAATTGTAATTGTCATTGAGTTAATACTGTACCACATGTTTCATACTCTACTTGTATGGGCTAAGTAATTACTTATGATTTTCTTGGCATACAGACATGAACACTGAGTAAGGAAAAAGTTAATACAGCACATAAGTATCTGTTGTCTGCCTACTGTGCATCACACACACACACACACACACACACACACACACACACACACACACACACACACAAATAGGAAATGCAGCCAAATATATAACGATATTGATTGCTTCAGTTCTTCTCCACTATAAATAAGATGGCAAAGATTTTTAAAGTAGCCAGTTATTAATTCCTTCTTCCTCCTTTTCTCCCTCCCTCCTTCCCTTCCATCCTTCCTTCCTTTCTCCCTTCCTTCCATTCTTTCCTTCCTTACATCTCCCTCTACTTCTCTATCCCTCATTTTTTCTTTCTAGTACATGAGCAAATGTTAACACTACAGTTTCATTCAGTGGAGTTGGTTAATATGTTAGTATTATTCTTGCCTAACACTAAGGCAAAGAAGATAGGGATTTCCAGTTACAGCTTCAAATTAAAAAAGAAAAAAAGCCCATCATAATAATAAGCTATTGGCTCATAGAGATGATTTGAATCTACCAATCAGTTAATACTTTCAAATTTCTCTGGTTGTGAAAATGTAATAAGTAAAAGAAGTTCTCTGTTTCTTTTCTTTATGTTGCTTTAGAAGTCTATCTTAATATAAATGCAGGGAATAAGATATTTGTGAAGTGGAGTAGAATTCAACAGCACTTAATATACAAACACAGAGTGAAAGGGATTGTTCAACCAGAACACACATGAGAATGAAGAAGTTAAGACCGAGACTAAGGGGGAAAATGCTCCCAAAGTGTAGAGAAACTAGGACCCCACATAATATACTTTAGTCTAATAGCAGAAAACGTTCTCTCCCAAAATATGAAACAGAGTAAATTATAAAGACCCCAATTCTCTTGGAGCTAATAGCCTGGACCAGTGGTCTCAGCATGATGGGTAGGCTGGAATAAAAGGACTCCAAGGGTCAGGGCCTAAGGAGGCATGTAGGTAATTAAGGCTCACTTCCAGAAGAGACAGAAAGAGCTTACTCAGTGTGCACATGTATAACACGACTGATGCTTTAGTTCTGTTTGGAGAAGAACCATGAAGAATAATTAGAAGAGTTACTTTACATAAAAATAATCTCAAGACACTATCTTCATTTTAGATTTCACCTCAGAAAAACTTTAATCCCAAGTCAGAGAATTCTCTCCTAGTTCCCATTTGGAATTTCAATATGTTCAATATTTAAGAAGCACTGAGTTTCACTTTTGGAAATAAAAATGTAAAAGATCTGGTTCTTTTACGCAAGAAGCCCACAGTATGGAGTAAAAACAAGCCAAACAAATATTTACATTATGATTTAATGAACAATAAAATGGAATTATGTACAAAATCCTAATGAAACACAAAAGAAATGCTATAACTGTGACTATAAGGCAGATCTATCAGTTTTATAGTCAAAATTAGACTTTATTACATCTGATAATACATTTTAATTTTTCTAATAGGAAAAAGAAGCTATGATAAGACTTGATGAGAAAAGTCATCAGTTACAAAAGGATGAGAGTTTCACACCATTACCCCCCAAGAAAGAAAATGATGGTAAGTATGAATAGCCAATTATCTACTTTTTAAAAGGAGCTTTAAAAAATAGCTTACAATGAGCTTTATTCTTTACAGTAATCAAAAATTGCCTCAGGATATAGCAAATCCAAATGGTGGAATTTTATTGCCAACGATAGTCAAACAGGTATATCGGGAGTTCACATTATTTCCCATCTCACATTATGTATGAGAAACATGGAATAGGAACATTCAAGAACAACCAAAGCTTAGTCCAAGTTTAGCTTTTAGAAAGTATTTCTTTCTGTCTATATAAAATCAATTGAAGAAATAGTTATTAAACACCGGTTATTTTCAAACACAGTCCTTGAGATAGGATAGTTCAACTTGATTTTTCAACTTTATGATGATTCCAAAGCCATACTCATAATACATTACATGAGATACTCAATATTTCATTATAAAATAGACTTTGTATTAGATAATTTTGCGCAACTGTAGGCTAATGTAAGTGTTCTGAGAATGTTTAAAGTTAGCTAGGCTAAGCTATAATATTCAGTCAGTTAGGCATATTAAATGCATTTCCAACTTAACATATTTTCAAGTTTCAGTTTATTGGGAGGTAACCCCATTGTAAGTTGAGGAGCATCTGTACACAGTCTAAGAAATGCATCACAGGTGATTTCATCATGCAAACATCATACTTATACAAACCTAGATGGTACAGCCTACTACGCGCCTATGGCATAGCCTATTGCTCCTAGGCTACAGGCCTGTACAGTTACTATATAAAACAATACAAGATTACAAAAAGCACAAGAAACAATATGTAATCAAGAGACATGGTAAACACAAGATAGATAAGGCTACTTGCCAGTGTAACACAGCATGCTGTTTTACAGCAAACTTTTTTTTTTAATAAGTAGAAAGAGTATGTACACTCTAAAATAATGATAAACAAGTACAGTGTGGTAAACACATAAACCAGTAACATCGTCATTTATTATCAAGTATAATGGACTGTACGTAACTGTATGTGTTATACTTTTATATGACTGGAACTGTGGTAGGTTTGTTTATTCCTGCATCACCATAAACATGTGAGTAATGCACTGTGCTATGACGTTATGAAGGCTACAACTTCATCACGTGATAGGAATTTTTCAATTCCATTGTAATCTTATGGGACTATCTTTGTTATATGCTGTCTGTCATTGACCAAAATGTTGTTATAGGGTGCATGGCTCTACATAAATAATTAAAATATACATTTAATTGAAACAATAGAAAATGTGTAACAAACTACAAAGTCCTACTTAATAGTTCTTATCTATTTGGTTTATTCTTGCTCTATCACAGAAGATTATTTCACATGACAACATGAAAAAAATAACATACTAATTTCTATATTGCCACAATAAAATTAAAATAGAACAAAACATAATTTGTATTTAAAAATCTGAAAGGTATAGTAAAAATAGACTTGAACAAATAAAAAAAAATCCCTTGCTCTTAAATAGGATGACTCAACATCATAAAAATGTCAGCTCTCCCTAAATTTATAACAATAAACTTTAAAGATGTGGTAAAGTTGATTCTCAAGTTCATATGGAAAAAAAATCAAACTCGCAAAACCAGCCAGAGAACTACTTAAAAATAAGGATATATGTACCACAGGAACAAGATGTACCACATGTCAAAATACTTTAAAGCCTCAATACTTTTAAAAAGTGTGATACTGGTGCATTAGCGGGATAGAAAGACCAGAAACAGATAAAAATATATGTAGAACTTTACACTATAATAAATTCAGCATCTTAAGTCACTGAAGAAAAGATTATATTTTTTTAAATGGTGCTTGGACAACTGAGTAGTAGGCTGGAAAGGGATACAATTAGATCAATACTTTACACAGTAAAACAAACTCCAGTAAAATTCAGGTCTAGCTCTAACAAGCGAAACTGTACAAATCATAGAAGAAAACTTGGGTGTGAGTTGCTTCAAAATCCAGAGGCAATAACAGAAAAGATCTATAAATTTGACTCCATAAAATTAAACTGCTGCATGGCACAAAACCATCATAAATGAAGTCAAAGACAAATGAAAATTGAGAAAAATATTTGCAACTTATATCACTGATAAAGAGTTAATATCTCTACAAAAAAAAAAAATTGGTACTACTTGTGGACAGGAATTTGGCAATATCTAACAAAACCAAATATAGATTCATTTTGTGACACAGCAGTCAAATTCTAGAAATTTTTTACCTTAAAGATAAACCTAAAAATAAGAAAATACATATGCAAAATCATGGAAGCATTGTTTGCAACTGCAAAATATTGGAAACAATCTAATTGCCCATACGCTGAAGAGTGCTTGAATAAAGTATGGTACATCCACACAATGGAATACTATGCAATTGTAAAAATAAATGAGGAAGATCTCTACGAATTAACATGGAATGATTTCCAGAATATGTTACATGGAGAAAACCGAAGTACAAAAAAGTATCTATAGTATGCTGCCTTTTGTCTCACAAAGAAGGAGATATAAGAACATATACAGGCATCAGTTCACTTGTGTGAAAAGAAACTCAAGGAGGGTAATTAAAAACAGACTAGTTGCCTAAAGGTTACTGATAGGGGATGGAAAATGAAAGGGTTGTGTGACACTTCTCTGAGTATACACGTTTTGCATAGATCTGATTTTAGAATAAGGTTATGTTTCACATAGGCAAATAAACAAAAAATTATAAATAAAATCAATAAGGATAAGATTTTAAAAACCCAAATTGAAATACAAACAGACAAAAAGAAACTTAATTACATTTCAAATGAATAACATAACACACCAAAGGGGGAAAAAATCTAATCTGAGTAACTTTAAACACAGTATTTTGACTATATACCTTCAGGCTAAAGACAAAAAATATATATATATATATATATATACACACACACACACACACACACACACACACACACAAGTACTAAAATTCCATTGTATAGGTTTGTTTTCTACAGTGTTACAGGATAGCAATAATGAAACAACTTATTGCTTGTTCTAGGACTCAATAAAATAAATATACTGTGGATAACGAAAGGTAGATTTCTCACTGCCAGTGAAGGGTGTTACCAATATGAAAAGGGGGAAGGCTAGAATGAACACTGTGGAGTTGGACTGGAATGGAAGATATCACCATCAACTCATGCCTGTATACAGATACAGAAACAGATATAAATGTACTTGTCTATGTGAGTATGTACCTGTTGTGTATATACATATGATATGTTTATGTATATGTCAGTATATGGTGTATACATATATGTATGTATGTATGTATATGTGTACATGTATATATATAGTAAAGGGAGAGACAAATATACATATATGTATTCCCTAACTCTCTCTGCTGAAAAAGTCTAGAAGCGATGAAATCCCCATAACAACGAGCATATCCACACCCAAATCTTGGTTTCTAAATACCACTCTCCACTAAAAGTAACCAGTTCTTCTTGAAGATATAGCTGATTTCAGGCTTGAGGCAGGGAAAAGGCAAGATTAATCTGGGACATTTTACCAAGCCAGAAAATAAGGAAGTTCTCAAAGAATAATGGTGATATTTTACTTTTAAAGAATTAACCAAAATATAAAATATATGTAGGTATAAATTGGCAAAAGATGTAGAAGACCTGTACACTGAATCTAGACAACAATACTGAGAGAAATTAAAAAGACCTAAACATATGTATAGATAGATATATTGTGTCAAGGACCAGAAAACACAATGTCATTAAGATGTCGATTTTTTCTCAAATATACATAGATTCAATGCAATCCCAATTAAAATTCTAGCAGATTTTTTAATTAATAAACTGATTCTAAAATTTATGTGGAAATGCAAAGAACCTAGAACAGTGATAACACTCTGAAGAATAAAGTTGGAAAATTTATACTACCTAATATCAAGACTTGTTATAAAGCTATAGGAATCAAGATATTGTGGTATTAGCATAAATATAAACAAATAGATCAATGGAACAGAAATAAACTTACACAATATGCTAAACTAGTGTTTTACAATGGTGCCAATACAATTCAATGGAGAAAAGCTAACCTCAGAAAAAAGAGTGCTGAAAGAACCAGATAGTTAAAGAAAAAAAAAAAACTAAAACTTTAACCCTTCCTGATACCATATATAAAAAGTAACTCAAAATGGACCCTATGTCTAAATATAAAGAGCTTAAATTATACAACCTTTAAAAGAAAACACAGGATAAAAATTTAGTAATTGGCAAAGATTTCTTAAATACAACACACACAAAAATGAACTATAAAAGAATCAATTGTTCTTCATTAAAATAAAAATGTTTGCTCTTCAAAAGACATTGACAAGAAATAAAAAGACAAGCCACAGACTAAAGGAAAATATCTGTGAAACATAAATCTGATAAATGATTTATATCTATAATATATACTCTTATAAAATGCAATAATAATAATATAAAAAGTCCCATGTAAAGAACAGGCAAGAGATATGAAAAGACACTTCACCAAAGAAAATTAAGTGGATGACAAGTATATCAAACGATGCATCATTAATCATTAGGAAAATACAAATTAAAACACGACATACCACAACACACCTTCCTTGATTCAATGGCTAAAATTAAAAAGTCCAAACATATCAAATGTTGGTGAGGATGTGGAGCAACTAGAACTCTCATGCAGTGCTGATAGGAATATAAAATGGTGCAACCACTTTGGAAAACAGTTTGGGACTTTCTTCAAAAGGTAAATATACACCTACCCAGCCATTTTGCTCTTAGGTATTTACCCCAGAAAATAAATGCATTAAGTTCACACAACTTGTACATAAATGTTTTTAGCAGCTTTCTTTAAAATAGCCAAGAACTGGAAACAACCAAAATATCCATAAGAGATGAGGTATAAATTGTGTCTATTAAGAGCAATGGAATACTATTCAATAATAAAGAAGGAATGTGTTACTGATACAAGCAACAACAGATGAATACAAGCAACAACTCAAAATAACTATGCAGAGTGAAAGAAGCCATACAAGAGTATATATATACCACATGATTCTTTTGATATAAAATTCTCAAAAATGCAAATTAATGTATAATGACAAAAAGTAGATGAGTGGTTGCTTGGGAACAAGATTGGGAGGGAGCGATTACAAAAGGGCATGAGAAGGTTTGGGGGGTAATGGATAGGTTAATTAGCTCAATTATGGTAATGGTTTCACGGATATATACATGTCAAAACTTATACAAGTTAAATTTGTGCAACTTACTGTATGTCATTTAAGAACAAAAAAGCTATGGCAAGATATAAAAGAGCTAATTGGCTAATATGTGACAACTGATTATAAAAATAAATATGATGGTAATGTATTATAACCCATGGGATAAGGGATTCATAAATTCATACTGACAGAAATAAATAATAAATAGATAGATAGATATAGATAGATAGATAGATAAGAAGAGAATGTTCACCTTACACCAAAATGCCAACTCGCAAATATAGAGAGAATGGTGGGATTAGAAAATCATTATTTGGCAACCCTCCTAATGGTAATAAACCATTCAGGTAAGAATCAATGGATGATAAAACTACTGTGTGAAAGTTTAATGACAAACAAGATGTTTAATATCTCAAAGTACTTCTCTGGAAGACACTTATTAATTACAAAGTGAAAAATATTTACTTTACAGAGTGAAAAACATGGTGAACACCAAATGAACCAAGTGACCAAAGACAGCATTATCAAGAATGGGACAAATAGATACCGTGTGCCCCTTGATACATGGCACTGAGGACCCAACATCACTTCTATGGTATTCCTGCCAAAAATGGGGAACCTCAGACAAACCCTAATTTAAAATCATTCTGCAAAATAAATGCTCTGAAAAATAATTTTCAAAAAAATTTCGAAATTTTTCATAAAAGTGAAAGGTATAAAAAAATAAAGACTAAGAAACTGTTCGAGGTTGAAAGGAATGAAAGAGGCACAAGTAAATGTAGTGAATAATGGCACAGTGAAATGGATTTCCAGCAGTGCCTACGATGACTAATTTTCAAGTTAAGAGTTTGCTTATCTAACTAGTGGTTTCTAAATCCCTTAGTTATCACTAGTCTGAAATGTGTTTGTGCCATACCAAGTGAAAAATCAAGCTTGTGTTTACCTTAAGTTCTGCTTTACAAATGTATTTGGTATTCAAAGGAGGAAATATAACTCAATCAATTCAGCAATTAAGAGATCAATGCTAAAACAGAGAATAAAAGATTGTGGATTACAAAACCTGAAATAAAATTTTGGTAAATTATCAGTTACGATACAGGTCAGTAGCTATTATAACTATGATATCTTCCTTGCTATCACCTATAATTCTATAAAATATCTTTTAAATTGGTAATAACATTCGTGACAACAATCATTTTACCATTAGAAGTCAACTGTTTTTAAACTAGTTTATATTTTTATGATTGTTTCCCAATTTAGAAATGCCCACATGCCTGTTGTGTGTATGTTTAAGTGGTTCTGTATACTGTGAAGAAGTTGACATTGATGCTGTACCACCCTTGCCAAAGGAATCAGCGTATCTTTATGCACGATTCAACAAAATTAAAAAGCTGACTGCCAAAGATTTTGCAGAAATACGTAAGTTAGTTTAAAATAAGATATTAATATTAACTCATGTTAGTATTAAATTCAAATAAACAGAAGATTCTAGGCATTTGTGCCTATTACATCTAAAACAGTCACTGCTGGAATATTTAAATATCTACCACATTTCACAAAAATCCACTGTTTCATTGGTGAATCTCCTTTCCATTCAGACCTCCACTGTCATCTTTCTTTACCAGTGACTTTGGTGTCTATGTTGACAGCCCATCTTACATATAGGCAAATTATGTCTTCTCAACCCCAATATTTCAAGATTTATTTGCCTTAGCCAGTCAGCAGCACCAGTATAACCAGGATGCTTCTCCAATCACAATGCTTTATTTGCTACATTCACAATAAAAGCATAGCAACTGCTTTCCTTACTCATGGTTCTTAAATCCGGCTACATGATTTAAAATATCTGGGGAAGCATTTTAAAAATACTGATACCAGGTCCTAGTCCCCAGAAGTTCTCATTTAGGTGTGGGGAGAGGCCCAGGCATCATCATTAACCAAAATCCTCAGATGATTCTAACATGGAACTATTAAAAACAGCGCTATTTAACTCCTTCACAGGTCATGAATAATCTTGGACTTCTGACATCCTCTCAAATCTTACAACTGTTTGCCACTTAGGGCACTACCATAAGCACTCCAAAATCCCCAATTTCTTCAGTGCCTACTCCCCATCCTGGATCACTAATCCTTCAAAAGTTGTCGTTAGTGCTTCTGAAGAAAATCACACCTAGAATTGCAAACTGGCCCCACTACACATTTACAAGTTTAACCATAATTGGCTTCATGCTGCCACTGGTAGCTCCCAATTGATTGAAGTACAGTTGCTCCTCATTATTTGTGGACTCCATATTATCAAACTCACCTACTTGCTACAATTTATTTGTAACTCCCAAATCAATATTTGCAGCACTTTCAACGTCATTTGCAGACATGTGCAGTGGCAAAAAAAAAAAAAAAAAAAAAATTGACTTACCCAGCCAAGGTGGAACAAGGTAATGCTCTGACCTTTTATTTCTGCTTTTATACTGTTAACAAATGTCCAATTCAGTCTACATGGCGCCACATTTTTCATTTTCATGTTTTTTGCTGTTTAAAATGGCCCCCAAGTATCATGTTGACATGCTTTCCAAGTGCAAGGAGGCTGTGACATGCCTTATGGAGAAAATACATGTGTTAGGTAATCTTCATTCAAGTGTGAGTTAATCTGCTGATAGTTGTTGAGTTCAATGTTAATGTATCAACAATATATACTGAATAAGATGTCTTTAAAAAGAAATACATAAAATTATGTACTGATTAGTTGAAGAAAATGTGTGACCAGAGGCTCAAAGGCAACTAGCCCTGCATTTTTCCTAGGAACAATGTTTCCCTATCTACTAATTCAGTGTTTGCAGCAATTTTATACACATGACTATCTCAAATAATGAGAGCTGATCATATTTCTTAATCGTTCCAGACAAACAAAAGTGATACATATATACACGTGCATACTAAATTTCTCTCTTAGTCTGCATCACTTTAACTAATTAGGGACATTTTTTTGTTTCTTGTTGTTAAGCAATAAGACATACATTAAGATAACATACACACAATAACAATGCAACGTGCTGGCAGAAAAAATAAAAAAATAGTTACGTGATTCCATTCAATCAAATATACTGCTTATTTTCTATGATTTGCCACCAAGAATTTCTTTCAAACTACATGAACATCCTGAGAAAGGAAACAGAAAGATAGAAGGATTGTATTAACTTTAAGTTCCCTTCCAAACCTGAGATTCTGGGACTCAAGGGAGAACGGCCCTCAGTGTCAAGCACAGAACAGATGCTCAACATTCATTCAACAAAAATTTCCTGAGCTACTAACTGTAAACACTTTATTAGACACTAAGAATAAAAGATGTCTGAATGACCTGTTAAATGCTTTTCTTCAGTCCAAATGAGAATTTAACTTATTTTTGTATATTTTCTATGTTTTTTGCATATTTTTCCTTCAAGCTAACTTAAGAAGACTCGATTTTACTGGGAATTTGATTGAAGATATAGAAGACAGTACTTTTTCAAAACTTTCTCTGTTAGAAGAACTTACACTAGCTGAAAATCAACTACTGAAACTTCCAGTTCTTCCTCCCAAGCTTACTTTATTTAATGCAAAATACAACAAAATCAAGAGTAGAGGAATCAAAGCAAATACATTCAAAGTAAGTATTTTATAGTATGAGTGAACACAGTATCAGTTTTATGCAGCCAATGATAACATGATAAAAGAAAGAGAAACTCTGGTCTAGAATTTAGTTTCATTTTAAAAACAATTTTAATTTAATAAATGAAGACATAATTTACATGAAAAATAGCCATACTGTTAGGTTCATTCTGTCTAGCTTATGCCTGTACCTCACTTAAAATTATATAACCTTTATCTTATTTCATGGACTACATCATGTCCCATTTTTCTCACTTGTTCACACAGCAAGTATTTATTTGTATAGACACGGTTCGCATCCTTGTGGCACCAAGACTGTATAAAACCTCAAAATGGGAGTTTTCCTGTGTTTCTTTTTCCTTACAATATTAATAATTTATAAATGCCAGAAAAAACAAAGTTCGAGAAGTAAACACTGAATTTTGCTTTTAATACTTAAATGTATCAAACCACAGAATTCTGTAGGTAGACTTTCTTTTGAATTCTATGATGGCACCTAATACAAAATTTTGTATGTAGTAAAAATTAGATATATTTTAAAAAATTTAATATTCAAGAAAATATATGTACAGGGAAAAGGGAAGGTGTCCTACTCTGATTTAGGTAGCCAGGTTGTCTCAAAATGCACTGTATGTGGAGAAGTAATCACCTCAGCCCAGGGCTTCCATAATTCTCTGATATACTCATTCTAGTCCCGAAAGGAACCGTAAATAAAAGGATCATGCTACTGTTGGCAACAGACAACCTCATTCAAAAGGAAGTCTTGTAGGTTCTAATGTGACACATCCAAGACTATTAAATATTCATTATCACATAGTTTATAATAATCACACAAATGTACAAACTGTCCACAAACATATAATCTGTCAGAAAATGTAAAAATATTCCTTTTATCTTTTCTGTCTACATTTAAGGAAGCAATTTTCAAATTTAAGGGACATTCTAGAGATACATCAAAGTTCCACAGAATATAGGGGATTCTTAGGGGACTTTTAAAAACTGGACTCACTTTAAAAACAAAAAACCCTTTAATTTTAAGATATATAATTCAAGCTGGTAAGACTCTGAATAACTGGCATATTAAAGAAGTCCAGGATCTGATCAAAACTTTACAAAAGGAATGTTTGGATATTTTGGATTTTACACGTGTATTACAGAAGAAATTCATGACAAGTTGGCATGGAAATGATAAACTAAGCTACTTTGTATTTTTGCTTAACACTCTAGGCTGCAAAGGCCACCAGCAAAATCAAGTTACACTAACCCATGTAAAGAGGCCCACTGGGGAAGATAGGAGCTTAGGGCCTATACGGTGGATGGTAGAATGCTTAAGAAAAGATTAAAATAACAGCAAATTAGTTAAAAAAAAAAAAAAAAAATTCTGCCATAGGATGCATATCAAAGATAAGGTAAAATATTAATGTGAGGGGTAACTACATTTTAAAATCATATTATAAAATTATATACAGCAATGGGTTACTGATCATGTAGAGAAATCCAACATCAAGCCTTAGAGGGAAAAGATTATAGCTTTGGAAAACATCTTACTAACAAGCACACACAGACATCTCTTAGAAGTTTTCATTTTGCTACAAATTGAAGCTAAAATGGGAAGTTCTGAAGGTTCAAGAGAAGTTATGGCAGCATCAGGATCCAAATTCAATCCTACACAGAGATTGACCTCCTTAGCTGCTCCTAAGACAAACTCAAAGGGCCCCAGAAGCTGGCATGAGGACTGAGGCTAGGCAAAGCTGGGTATTCAGAGATCAGATGACTGGACAAAAATGTGGAGATGTAGCAGGGCTCTACTGCCCTTTGTAAAGGACCAAAAAAACCCCAAAGCTAAAATACTATTAAAGCAATGATTAATAGTATTGATATGTATCTATATTAGTATCCATGTGTACATGGTGTATAGAGTTTGAATCCTGTAAAGAAATGGATTGACTTCAAACTCTCAATCAAAACTACCTTTCCTTACAGAAACTGAGTAATCTATCCTTCCTCTACTTGGACCACAATGCACTGGAATCTGTGCCTCTTAATTTACCAGAAAGTCTACGTGTAATTCATCTTCAGGTATGATTGCCCTTTCTGATCTTAATTTAAATAATTAAGGGTCATTAGATTCACAGGTAAATTCTACCTATCAAAAGTGTTAATATTGAACCCAATGTACTCTCCTGTCCAGAAGTCCTGGTTCTGTCCAGAGCACCATGAAAGGACCAGCAACACTAGGTATGAGGTCTTTTCTCAAAATGGGGTTTGTCTCCATCTGTGCGCTTAGTATCTCCTAGTTAATTTGGCACATGGATTTGAAATTAGAGGACACTAAGACCTCTGGTTTATGTTTCTTCCTCCAAATAGCAGTAAACATTCGCTTTTGGAGACTTTCTAATTGATTTTATTGTCCAACATCAATGAGGTAACAGAAAGTGAAGAGGGAAAAAAAATAAACTAAAATTGGTCTTTCAGAATCACAAGAATTCCTATTTGTTCTTTTTACTTCTTTAAAGAATATTTAAGGACACAGTATGTATTTTGAGTCAATATTCTAGAATAGAATACTTTTTCCTGCTAATATAATCTTATTTATACTCAGAACTTTGTTACATGGATATTATTCTAGCAATAGCAAATAGTCTGTTCTTCCAAAGTCACACTGTAGACTTAAGAAAAGCTCAGATTGCACAGAGAGGGTTTTATTACCATGATACACAGTATGTAAAATAGTTTAAAAATCATTCTTTAGATAAAATACTCTGTGAGATCCCATTACATAGCATACAAAAGGCTGATTTCAGATTTCTGAACAATTTTTCCCTTTTATTTTCCAGTTTAACAACATAACTTCAATTACAGATGATACATTCTGCAAGGCTAATGACATCCGTTATATTCGAGACCGCGTTGAAGAGATACGCTTGGAGGGAAATCCCATCGTCCTGGGAAAACATCCCAATAGTTTTATCTGCTTAAAAAGATTACCTGTAGGGTCATATTTTTAACCACTATCAATGTGGCATATAAACTAAAGTACACACATACTTATAATCTGTCTCAATAATGTCTACAAGAGCATATTTAATATTAATTTTGTATCCCACTATGAAGGAATTCTATGTTTTATGCAAGGATTTTGAAAAAGCTTACATATAAACAAGCAAAAAGTAAAACTGAATCTCTAAGTTCGAAACAAAGTAATGTGAAAATATTTAAACAGTATTACAAAATTCTTGTAGTTGGTAGTAAAGTGCCATTTGAAAGGTATGCTTTTTTATATAAATATCCAAATTTAAGAAGCATTCTTTCTATTACTAATGAAGTGAGAAGTTCAAGACTTTAAACTGTTTGTCCTTTCTGGCCTTTACTGGATCTCAAAAGCATTTAAGGCTGACGTTCCGAAAACTTTGAAAAGCTAAATATTTCCAGTGATATCCCATTTTTCTTTTATGATTCATACATTGTTCATTATGAAGTAGAAACTCTGTTTCCTTTCTATTAAGGCAGCTATTATATTTTTACTTAGCCTGAAATAGGGCATAGCTTTATATCTAGGCAAAATTTTCCAAATAAAGCATAATTTTACTCCCTGATAAACAGCTAATATAGTAATGTTCAACTTATTCTGCTTTGTACTCACACAGTTAAAGGCTTTAGTAAAGTAGTACAAAATTTTATTTTATCTTAATATTAACATTCAAAATCTAGTATAAAACATTTTAAGAAATCAAGCAGAACAAAATCAGTATGCTTATAAAAAAAAAACTTGAAAGTCTATCCCATTTCTCGGAAAATAGCCATAAAGTTCTCTATTGTTAAGATTTAAGAATATCATAAATACTGAAAAATATTTTTTTACACTATAGGAATGAGAATCTCATGAATAAATTTGTCCAAATATAAGACATGAAAACAAAATGAATTCTATGGTGTTATTACACACCATCCTCCCACCCACCCTTACAGATACATGTTCAGACAAACGGACTATATATTGACAAGAAAGTTTCTGAGCAACATTTTCTAAAGACCCATAATTCACTAATACATTTAATGGCGAGAACTCACTTAAACCTAATAGTGATGATTTATGATGACACTGTGTTACCAGATTAAAGTTCCTAAAATAACTTTCCGCTTGCCCAAATCCCATTCAAAAGTCTTAGTCTCTACATTGCTCAGAGGTCACATACAAAATTATCAGTGCTTTAGAAACATGAGTTTAAACCGTGTATATAAAAATTACCAATACTGTTTCCAACATAAATTATACCTTAGAATCAAGTTGGTCTCCAGAACAAATATTTATTCATAGTTTTAAGCATTTGTTCATGTTTTCCTTACCTAGAATGACCTCCTATCTGTTTTTCAAATTTTTCCCAATTTGTCAAGGTTGACCCCCAAATGAAACATTTTTATTAAATGATCCATGATCTCTTAAAGCCACAATAATTACCCCATAACACTTATTAACTCATTCAGTTATTTTACTTTGGTAACTGATAATCATAACTATTGTACAGCTTTCTCATTATTTTCTGTGCATGCTTCATTTCTCTATGACTGAAAGCTCGCTGAGTACACAGAACACATCCAATATTCCCTTTATACTTTCAAAGTGCCTGGCTAATAGTGAGCACATCTGAATTGAATATACAATAAATAATGCAAAATAAAATCCATTTAAACAAAAGGGCTCTGTTTTATTTGGAAAAACAGAATTTTCAAACTATTATAGTCATGAATAAATCAATGGAAATAAACTGTAACTTATGTGGGAAAATAAACCTGATAAGGAGAATCGAGTGGTAGGAACCAAAACTGAGGCAATTCCTGTCACATTTTCAGATGTCAAATAAATAATATATTCCCATGCTCTTTATATAATTAAACTTAAAGGGAAAAAAATCGTAAAATAACTCAAATTTTAGAGAATGTAAAAACCAGTAGTTTAGATAAAATAATAGTTAGGAAAGACACTGGTAAAAACTCTGTATTATAGAATTATCATTAAAAAATAATATTGAGACTTCTAGATAAAAAGAAAACATGAATATGGGTACCTGATAACCTTATATACATCCTTAAGTAACAAATAAAATGAGTAAAAACATGCTGATCACTATCTTAGATATTGCTTCATTCTTGACACTGATAAAGAAATAGAGACTTAAAATTAAAAATACTTTCCCTTACGAACATTCCTGAAAGAAACTAAAGAAGACATGCATAAATGGAAAGATATCCTGTGTCCATAGACTAAAGACTGAATAGTTAATATATCAATTTTACCCACAGCAACTGACAGATTCAATGCAATCTCTATCAAAGTCCCAATAACATTATTTGAAAAAATAGAAACACCCATCCTAAAATTCATATGGAATCTCAAAAAACTCCAAATAGCCAAAACAAATTTAAAAAGAACAAAGTTGAAGGACTCACACATCCTCCTTTCAAAATGTAACTACAAGTGTTGTTCTGGCATAAGAACAGACATATAGATCACTGGAATATAATAGAGTCCAGAAACAAACCTTTGCATAAATAGTCAAATGATTTTCAACAAAGGTGGCAAGACCACTCAATATGGAAAGGAGAGTGTCTTCAACAAATGGTGCTATAAAACTGAATATGCAAAAGCAGAGGACTAAAGTTGGGCCCTTAGCTTACAAACTGGATCAATCACCTAAACTTAAGACCTAAACTATAAAACTCTCAGGTGGGAAAAAGAGAAAAATCTTTATATTAAATTTGGCAATGATTTTTTTTGGATATAACATCAAAAGCACAGACAGTAAAAGAAAAAAATTGATAAATTGGCTTCATCAAAATTAAAAACTTTCGTGCATCAAGACACTATCAAGAGAATAAAATGACAATCCAGAGAATGGAATTTTTGCCGATTATATATTAGATAAGGGATCAATATCTAGAATATACAAAGAACTCTTACAACTCAACAACTACAAAAAAATCCAAACAACCTGATTCAATGGGTAAAGGACTTGAATAGACATTTCTCCAAAGAAGATATACAAATGGACAATAAGCACATGAAAAGATGCCCAATATCACTAATCATTAAGAAAATGCAAATCAAAACCATGATGAGAATACCACTTCATACCCATTAAGGTTGGCTATAACAAAAAGAAAAAAAAAAAACCCACCCAAAATAACAAATGTTGGCAAAGATTTGGAGAAATTGGAAGCCTTGTAAATTGCTGTTAAGAATGTAAAATGGTGCAGCTACTGTGGAAAAGAATAGGGCAGATCGTCAAAAAATTAAACATAGAATTACTACATGATCCAGCAATTCCACTTAAAAGTATATACTTGAGAACTGAAAGCAGGACCTCGAACAGATATTTGTATACCATTGTTTACATAAGCATTATTCGCAATAGTCAAAAGATAGAAATAACCCATGTCAGTCAACAGATGAATGGATAAACAGAATGTAGTAAATACATAAAATGGAATATTATTCAGCTGTAAAAAGAAATGAAATCCCGACCCATGCTACAACATAGATGAACCTTGAGAACATTATGCTATTTGAAATAATCCAGACAAAAGGGATAAATTTTATGATTCTGTTTAAATGAGGTAGGTACCTGGAATAATCAAATTCATAGAAACAGAAGATAGAATGGTGGTTCCCAGGAGCTGGGGGAAGGAGGTAATACTAAGTTAGATTTAATGGGGACAGAGTATCAGTTTGGGATGATGGAAATGTTCTGGAGATAGATATTAGTGCTGGTTGCACAACGATGTGTTTCTTTCCATTCTAATAACCTTATCATTAGCAAAGACCAGTTCATAGAAGCACTATACCTTCTATAGCAGCAATCCTCAACCTCTTTGGCACCAGGGACCGATGCTCCTACAAGAATCTAATGCCTGATGATCTGAGTTGAAGCTGAGACTGATGCTAGTACTGGGGAGCAGCTGCAAATACGGATGAAGCCTAGCTCCCTTGTCTACTGCTCATCTCCTGCTGTGTGGCCCAGCTCCTAACAGGCTACAGACTAATACCACTAGCACCAGTCTGTGCCCCGGGGGTTGGGGACCCCTGCTCCATAGGAAAAACACACCAATTATACTTCTATACCTGCCTTGAAAGCACTTGAAGGTGAACCGGCTTTGGAAATGGGACTAGCACTCACGTTTCTCACAACCTATTCAAATGTATAAGTAAACAACCATATGAGGTGATTTATAACCATAAATGCCAGCATATTCCTCAATCATCTGTGAAGTGGAACTAGTTTGTTCTGGTGCAAGAGCACCTGCAAGCAACAAACATAATCATGAGAACTTCTCAAGGGACCATAGTATAGGTACAGGTACAGGACAGGTACTGGCATGTTTCATTCTAAAGAAAACCCTATGCCTGGCAGATTTTATTAGCTCAACAAATAGAATGCAAATAATAATAAGAGGAAGTAAAAGGAAAAAAAGAAGTCCAAAATAAAGGAGAATTAATACCAGTCATAAAAACAATAGTCATGACCCAATTAGGCTTTCAAAGAAACCTGAACCGTGAGATGTCATTTATGTTGAATCTTTCAGAACTAATTTTTGTGTGGATTACTGTTGTCAATGATTTGATGCTATTCAACTGAGTAGGACCTGAGGGATTTCAATGTAGTCAAACATAATTCTAGTTATTCCACAAAACAAAGGGAATAAAAAGGAGTCTTTTAATGCATTAGTTTCAGACTTAAGAAGCATTACTTTACAAGAAATGGGCTTCAGTATTTAAACTTGAAATATATGATAATTAAGCTCAAAATATAGAGTCTGGCTCAGGAAGTAAAGATTAAACTGCTTTGTGTTAAGCCTGCTATGATTATATTCTTTATTAACATTTATCATTTTATTTTAAGTACCCTTGATAGATTAATTTTTCAAAATGTGTTAAAAATTCAATACAAATATAACTATACTTCTTTCAAGATAGTCAATCACATAAAATTCACTGATTTGTACTGAAGCATTCCTCCTTCATTTCTTCAAATAACCACAAATTCCAAAAGCCAATTAAGACATTTTCTGTCACTTAAAAACTTTAAGGAAAGAATGTTATGTTAAATCCCCAAATTAACATGAGCTCCAGTTTTTCATATATGTTTAAATTTAAAGACTTTGGACTCTACCTTGAAATGTTTAAATGTGCGCTTACGATATTCACACCACTCCACAAAAAAGTGTAGGCTTCGGAAAAACATAAACAGATCTCTTCTTTCTTCTGCTCTGTAGGAATAAAATATTCTATGATTAATAAATATCATTAAATGAGAGCTCCAACCTGGTTTTACTTCTTATTATTGCTTTTTATGTTCCTTTAATAAAGCTAAAAAAATATTTGATATATTTCTACATACTGAACTCTGTACTTTTGAGTATGTGCCCCTGTCTGATTGCTGATGCTACTTTCTCAGCCTGGAATACCCTTTTCCTCATTTCCAAATGTTTAAATCCTACCTATCTTTCCAGACACCATTCAGATGCAACATTCTCTTTGAAATCTTATTTGGTGACTGTGGTACAATAAAGAATATATCTTGTCTTTGTGTCCAGTTGCTGGTACAGAGCTTCAAAAACCCTTACAACACCTGAGTGATGAGAGTGCCTTTGTTACATTAATAGTGACTCACATTAGTCCCTAGAAAGCCTCCGAATAGGGGCGTGTCACCAGAGAGACCAACCAGACATCCAGCAAAGGTGGGTAGGGAGGAAGGAGCTCAATTACATGGACAATAATTTAATCAAAGATCCCTATGTAAGGAAACTGCAATTAACGATCCAGACGGCACAGCTCAGTGGAGCTTCCTGCTTGGTAAAACCATTGATGTGCTGGGAGGCTGATGTACATGGATTCCACGAGAACGTGCAGAGAAGCCCTATGTTCCTCCTCATGGCCCTACCCCAGACTTTAGCCTATTCATTGCTTCCATTTGGCTGTTTCAGGGTTATGTCTTTTACAATAAAACTATAATTTTCAGCGGAGCACTTTCAGTGAGTTCTCTTGATTATGAGCAAATTACCAAATCTGAGGAGGTTGTGAGGAAACCCAAATTATAGCCAAGTAGGTCTATATGAAGTGCAGGTGGCCCCTAAGACTTGTGGGTGACATCCTAAATGGAGCAGTCTTGTGGAGGCCTCTGCCTTCAACCTGTGGGTCTGTGCTAAATCTGGGTAGTGTCAGGACTGAATTAACATATCCTAAACTGAGAACTGAAGGAAACCAAAAGAACAGTATGTGTAACAGAGAATGTCAATGAGAAATTATAAAAAAGAAACGAATAATTTTAGAACCAAGGAGTATAATAAAGGAAATCAAAAATTCAAAAGCAGATTTAAACAGGCTAAACAATCAGCAAAAATGAATATAAGTACAAAGAAATTATCCAGTCTAAGTAGCAAGAAGAAAAAAAGAATGAAGAAAAACAAATAGACTGTAAGAAACATCTGGGACACCATCACGTATACAAACATATACATAATGGAAGTCACAGAGAAAAAGCTGAGAGAAAAAGGAGCTAAAAGCATATTTCAAGAAATAATGGTCAAATCCTCTCCAAACTAGATGAAAAAATTATATAAATCTAAGAAGCTCACAAACTGTAAGAAGGATAAACTCAAGAGAGACCCACGCATTATACTCAAACTGTCAATACCTAACAGAATTTTCAGAGTGAAGTGACTCATTCCACAAGGAATGGTAATAGTTGATTTACCATCAAAAACCATAGAGGCCAGAATGTACTGGGATGACATTTAATGTGTGAATAATCAACCAATAATTCTATATCTGGCAAAACTATCCTTCAAGAAAGAAGGAGAAATCAAGACATTCCCTGATTATCAAAAAGCTAAGGGAGTTCATTACTAATATACCTTCAAGGAATGCTAAAGGGAATATACTTCAGGCTAAAATGAAAAAATACTAGACAGTAACTCAATGTTTCATGGAGAAATAAAGAACATTGGTTACATGGATAAATAACAAAGACAGTATTACTGCATTTATTTATAGGCCCTTTTTTTCCTATGTGATTGAAAAGACTAATGCATAAAGTAATAATTTTAAATCTACATTAATGGGTACACTATGTATAAAGATCTAATCTATGATAATAACAATATAAAAAGAGAGGGACAGATATAAGGAAATAGTTTTTGCAAATTATATGATGTTAATTCAAAATAGATTATTTTAAATTTAAGATATTAATTGTAATCTTCAAGTTAATCACTAATAACAAAAATTACACAGATAAGGAAATGAAAAGGGAATCAAAATGGTACACTACAAAAATCAATAAAACAGTAAAGGTGACAGTAATGAAAGAATAAAAAAGATATGACATACAGAAAACAAATAGTAAAATGACAGAAATACTTCCTTATTAATAATTACTTTAAAATGTAAATGATTAAACTCTCCAAATGAAAGGCCAATTGGCAGAATGAATTCTTTAAAAAATGATCAATCTATATGCTGTCTATAAAAAACTTAGTTTAGAAGTTAAAAAATACTACGGAGGTTAAAAAATGAGGCTTGAAAAGATATTTCGTGCAAATAGTAACCAAGAGAGAGCTGGGGTGGCTACACTATCATCAGACAAAACAGACTTTAAATCAAAAATTTTTATAAGAGGCAAAAAATTATATTATATATTCACAAAAGGGTCAACTCACCAAGAAGATACAATAATAGGGTCAATTCACCAAGATATAATATAAGCACTTAACAAAGGACCCCAAAATATGATGTATAATTTTATAGAATTAAAGAAAGAAATAAACAATTTAACAATAATAGTTGGATGCTTCAGTACCCCACTTTTATTTAGACCCAACAAACATATACAAAACATGCCACGCAACAATAGAATGTATATTGTTCTCATGTGCACATAACATTCTCCAGGATAGACCATTTGTTAGGTCTCAAAACAAGTCTAAATATATTTTAAAAACTGAAATAATACAAAGTATCTTTACTAACAACAATAATGTAAAAGTAGAAATTAACAAAAGGAGAAAACATGGAAAATTCATAAAGTGGAAATTAGCAACATACTGTTAAATGACCAATGGGACCAAGAAGAAATGGAAGAAATGGAAGAAATGGAAGGAAGGAGGGAAGGAAGGAAGGAGGGAAGGAAGGAAGGAAGGAAGGAAAGGAGGGAGGAATCTTTAGGGAATTGTGAATGAATAACAAAAGGTTTAAACTTTATGTCATCAATTCAGAATAAGGGAAAGATCCTGGGGTTGAAAAAAACATTTGAAGAAATAAAGATTGAATACTTTCCAAATTTAACTAAAAAAATGTCCCTACAGATTCATAAAGATATCTAAGCCCAGACAAATGATGACTAAACTTCTGAAAAGTATTTGAAAGCAGGCAGAGAGAAATGAAGGATTACAAACAAGGGAACAATGATTAGAATGACTGTGTATTTCTCACCAAAAGACCACGGAAGTCAGAAGCAAGTGGCACATTTTTCAAGTGCTGACAGACACGAACTGTTAAACTAAAACTCTAAATTCAGAGAAAATATCTTCAGGAATGAAAGTAAAATAAAGACATTCTCATATTAAAAAAAATTAAGACATTTGTTCCCAGAGACATCATCATTCACATGGTTGTTTTTAGCTCATTGAGCATATTTAAAATAGCTTATTTAAAGTCTTTGTCTAGTAAGTCCAGTGTCTTCGCATGTCAGGAACTGTTTCTATTGACTGATTGCTTTTTTCCTGTGTATGAGCCATATTTTTTTTGTTTCTTTATGTTTTGCCTGTCTTGTAATTTTTGTTGCAAACTGAACATTATAATAATATAGTATGGCAATTCTCAAAATCAGATTGCCCCTCTCCCCAGGGTTTGTTTCTTGTTATTTTTGTTTGTTTAGTGACTTTTCTGAAATAATCTGTAGTCTGTACTCCTTATTGTATTTAACTACTGAAGCTTCTGCTCAGTTAGCTAATATTTGAACAAAGATTTACTTAAACACCTAGAACCCAGGTCTCCCAGTCTTTGCCAAGGGGCTCTTCGTGTATCTAGGGTACGTCTTCAATACTCAGCAAAGTAACTGAAACTACCTTAGCCCTCACTTCCTGCTTTTAAAAAGCCTCATGATTAGCTAGTAGTGACAACTTAGGGCCATCTCAGGTCTTTCCTGAGCATGCACATAACCCTGGGCATGCACACAACCCAACACATAAGCAGGACCTTCTAGATACCTAGGAATATGTTAGGGCTTTTCAGAGTCCCTATTGCAATCCTACACTCCAGCTTTTCCTTTTAAGCTTTTTGGTTACCCTATTAATTGCTGCAGTTGTTAACCACCACCTCAGGCAACCATGAAGTTTAAAAATTGCCTCCAAATATCTTCCAAATGCTCCTAGTGAAAAGACTTTCAAACTGGATGAGTTCTCAGTCAGGTCAAATATAGTCTTGTAAATGAGATATTTCAGGGAACCAAAAAAACTGAATAATACTAATAATGAGGCTTTGAATAAGTTTGAACCTATTCTGCATCCTCTGGTGATTACAGGCTTTTGGTAATCAAGGCTACCGCAAAACTAGTAAGGGAGAGATGGGAACAGGGCATTTAAAAAGCCACAAAGCTCACTTTTCTTTCAAAGATTCCGCTGTTTTTCCTGAATAAATGTTCCCTGATTGTTACAAGCATTTGGTTTATTTCTAGAATTCTAAAAAATCTAATTCTTACAGTTTCTGCCAGTTTTTTTGTTGTGTTTATGGAGAAGAGAATCTTCAAAGGAATTTCCTTACTCTGCTAGTTTCACTGTTGTCTATGTCTTGGAATATAAAAAAAACTCAAAGAAGGTTCTGTATTAACCATGTCTTTTATTCTCTGTATTCTGATGCTTTGACATATGGAGCCTTGCTGACTCTGAAGGAACTGTCCCTCCCAAGGTTAACCAATTCTGAGATAGTAAACAACTCACTCCTAAGTGTGCTTTTCAAATGTCATCCAACCAGTCCAGAACCCACGCCCCAACAGCTTCCTTTATCAGGCTCTCCTACTCTGGCCACTATCCATCTGCCCTAATCACCCTAGGGCCAGGAACCAGTCAACTAAGGAGAGTTCCTATACCCCAGAGCCTCCTATTCACATTAGCCAGGCCAAAGCCTGCTCACACTGCCTCATCTGTTACTTCCCTCAGAAACCACAATAAAGGCTCTTGCCTAGTTTCTCCTTCTCCCTCTGCCTCATGAC